GAGATAGGAACTAAACTGTGCGGTCCGCCCTGCCAAAACAGCCTGTGGAGAACAATGCTTGAGGTCATATGCATTGGGCTGCGGGATATTCTATTTGTCAAATTCCACCTTTCAGCCGGAGCTTGGGTTTGTTGAAATCTGCCTGACAGCCAGCCCAACTGGCTGCTAATGTGATGGGTGTTGCTTGTGCTATTTGATCCATTGCCAGGTTGGTCGGTTTGAGATCAGAGTTATACCTTCTATGTAGGATGCCTTCCATGGCTAACAGGCCCTATCTATCCGGGGTTGGAATCAGAGCTTTCCTTCTTCTAGGTGAGCTGCCTTCCATGGCTGATGAGCCCCACCTACCCGGAGCAATCTGGTTTTAAGGCACCAGAATCTCGCCTTTCACACCTCTGACACCAGTTATAAACAGGGGCCGGTGCAAGAAGCCAAGCAATAGGAGTTTGGTTAGGAGAGATTTTAGAGACGCTGACCATGGGACATATTTGGTGGTTGATGAGGGGAGGCTCTTTCCCCACAACCATCCCAGTCATCCTAACCCTTTGACCGCCAGAGTAATATGTCCAGTAAAGGAGTCCCTCTAGGCTCCCATACATTTAGCCGTGCACTCTTTTTCAGACGACATCATTTCTGTGTGATACATTTCCGTCTGGGAACCACACAAACGAGACGGTGATCTTATGTCCTGTGTACATCTACAAGCTGGAAATGCTTTTAAGCAGTAAGTAGTGAGGGGGGCAGTCTATTTCAGTGTTGGTAGTGGCAGTACCTATGCATGCAGTCACAATTCGTGCTTTTTCATACATCATTTCTAGGAAAAACAAGTGAGGGCCAGAAAAGGTGTTGCCCCACCACTTTTGGAGCCCGGAGTCCCTGACCAGAAACTGGAGACTTTTCTCTTTTTGGCCTTAACATGCATATTTTACAGCATTGAATATCCACAAGACAAATGTCAGGAAACAAATTGAAGGTTTTTATGGGATATTACTTGGACCATTTACCCAGGGATGTGCAACTTTAACTCAGGCCAGCACAGTATCAAAAGCAGAAATTAAACTGGATTATATCTAATGATAAAACATATATTCCTGTCTACCACTTTGTTTTCTTGTAATATTTTAAGTCAGGGTACACCCTTTCTAAAAATTTGTTGCTCAAGATATTTCATCTGTAGATTCTGAGAAAAGTGTACTATAAATTGGGGAATTTTGCCTCATTAAAATTTCATGTCTACTTGAAATCGATAAATAAAGATGATTTATTCGTCGAAACGAATAGATTTAAGCACCTCGTTGGCGCGTCGTCTCGGCATAACCATGGCTGCACTATACATGCTGCATCCTGCAAAGCATGTCATGTGGTCGCAAGTTTTTTCGAGAAAGTGGAGCGGGGGTCATAATTATCCGTAACACGCATGGAACCAAGGTCGTGCATGTGTTTGCACTGGGGCTGCTCGTGGTTGCACATCCCTGGGTAAATGGTCCGTGCTTGAACCTAATGACTTTCAAATATGACAACAGTCATAGGTGTGTCGTTAAGACTCTGTGTTTATTTTTTTAACATTGAAATAAAGTTGACTGAATGATGGCATTGATTGGTTTCCCTTAGCAACCCTGGCAGAAAAAATTTCCCGTGTGTTTCCTTGCCCAAAAACTGAAGAAGAGGTGTACATGGAGCTCATCCCAGGCTGA